CTTACTTTGGAGACATTTTGTTAAGCTAGTAGGGGGCGCCTGCCCTACAAGCAACTTTAATTCTTCTCTGTAAATGATCCCATGCAAATTCCTGAAACGTACAATCAAGGGGATCTCAATCAGCTCCTTCATCTGGTAATTCAATACCAAAGAAGAACCGGAAATCAAAGGGCAAGAAGTGGGAGTCTAAACCTTAGTTTGTTGTGAAACAAGGTGTAAGACCATCTCCAACCGAAGGGTCTAGAGGGCCGAAAATAGTACGAAAACCGTTTCCAACTGAGGGCTAGGCCAAAGGGCTCATGGATCCCACTGGACAAAATAGGGCCAAAGGGCCAACCGGGTGGCCCAAATAAGCCAGCCAGCCAGCCCTGGGCCAGGCCAAGATTAAAAAAACCAACGGCTAGCTTCTAACGCCAGTTAGCCGTTATTTTGAAATTTTTTTACTTTTTTTTTTATTTTACAAAAAAATTATTTTTTATTTTTAAATTCTTTTTTTTTTCCCTATAACTTCCTAAGGCATTATACAACATTAAATTAAATTAAGTAACATGAAACAACATTAAACAATATGAAAAAACATTAAATAACATTAATTAACCAACAGAAAAATTATATAGCATAAAAAAAACATTTAACAACATGAAACTTAAACAACATTTTTAAAAACATTTAATAACATAAAACTTAAACGCCTACTCCATGCTTCTTTTGGCCTAAAGATGTGTAACATGATCCTGTTGTAGGTACTTGTTTGTGGCACAAGAACGTATCATCCTCTAGCACATCATGTACTCATTTATAGAGATACTACCAGTTCTTGGATTGGAAGGCAAATTAGGCCCATCATATATTTTTGCACAAGCCTTTCTTGACCTATTTGGATCCTCTTGGTCGTCATCAGACTCTCCATCAATATACCCATCTCGCTTATCCTCCATAATCATGTTGTGTAATATAATGCAAGACATCATGATGGAGTCCAAATTTTCTCGACTTCACCATCTTGCCGGTTCCTTGATGATCTTCCACCATGTTTGTAGAACACCAAAAGCTCTCTCAACGTCTTTCCAGTATGCCTCTTGATGTAAGGTAAAACATTTTTCGGTGTCATTTTTAGGGTTTGGAATTGCTTGGACAAGTGTTGCCCACTTTCAGTAGATGCCATTTGCCAAGTAATACCCTATATTGTATTGACGGCCGTTGATGTAGTAGTCAAGTTGAGGTGATTTACCTTCCGTCAGGTTATTGAAGAACGGTGAACGCCCAAGAACTGTAATGTCATTTTGGGATATAGGGACTCCAAAGAAAGCATGCCAGATCCATGTGTCATACGAGGCAACCACCTCTAACACAATAGTTGGCTTTCTCGACCTTCCGCTAAAGCCTTCTTGCCATATGGTGGACAATTCTTTCAATTACAATGCGTGCAGTCTAATGATCTTATCATGCTCGGAAACCCACGGTCTTCGGGTTTGTGAATGAGCTGATCCAGATCTTTTTGATTTGGCTTGCGAAGGTAATCATCTTTGTAAAGCTGAACAATTGTGTTACATAATTCATCAAGAGTATCAAGGCATGTAAACTCAGACATACCATGTGTTTCATCCATCGAATCAGCTGGGGAGCCATAGGTCATCATTCGTAGTGCAACATTAACCTTCTGATGAGGTGAGAAACTTGGGCGGCCTGCTCTGTTTAGCTTTTGTTGAAAGTATGGATTGATCTGATGGACATCGAGGTTGTTCCTCAGTTGGCTGACACATCATGGCCGCAACCATAGCTGCCACATATTGTGTGTTGCACCATACTTCATCTTCTTCATCAGACTCTTCATCTTCTTGTCTTATTTGGGCCCATTTTTCTTCCACTTCGGAATTGGATGAGGACCCCCAGTTGGAATTCAAAGAGGATCCAAAGTTGGCATTCATTGTAAACTTGAATTGAAAAAGATTGAAAATAAAGAGATTGAATTCAAAGGTGTGTGAATTATAGCCCAATATCCATCCTATGTATAGCAAAAAAAAATTCAAATCCAACAGCTAGATAAAGTTATACTGACAGCAACTAACCGTTGGATTTGAATTTGAATTTTTTTTCAGCCAAAATTTGTAAAAAAAAAAAATTAAAAATTCTTGTTTTTTTCCCTATAAATTTAAGTTGTTGTAGCTTTTAAATTTAAGTTGTAGTTTTTAAACACAAGTTGTAGTTTTTAAATTTAAGTTGTTGTAGTTTTTAAATTTAAATAATAAATTATGTTTGGCCTTATGGCTTTTTGGCCCTCGGTTGGAGAAGGTTTTTTGTGACAGGGCTAAAACGAGTCATATAGCCCTCGGTTAGAGATGGTAATAAACATGACCCTACACTGTTCATTAAAATATTAATTTCTTGGAGGCCAGAGGGCTAAAATGAGCCATCTGGCCCTCATTCGGTTGAAGATGGTCTAAGGAATTATCAAGGAAGCTGATCATGATGCAGGAGGTAGACCTGATCAAGCAGAAGGGAAATGCAATATCTATCAAACCCTCACTTATGGTGAATGTTGGTTCAAAAGGAAACCTAAGTGCCATGGATATAACAAGTTTGACCATCTTGTGAAAGACTGTGAGATAACAAACAGGACTAGACCATAAGCCAACTATGCTAATCAAGTAACGGAAACTGCCACTAAGTTCTATGCTTGTCACTTTGCGACAATTCCAAAAGATGTGAGTGTTTGGTATGTAGAAAGTGCATGTAATCAAATGACCTCTCATGAATCCCTGCTAATTGATGTTGAGAGGAATGTGAAATGTAAGGTGAAAATGAACACTAGTGATCTAGTGCAAACAACTGACAAGGTGTTGACCTTAAAAACTACCAAGCCTATGTGGCGCGCAGACCGAGTAACTAATAAGCTAACTACGTCATTCAATTGTGTGCAGGGCATGCCAACTCATCCGCCGAGCTCGACCGAGGAGTAAAATTTGTTGATATCGCGTTGGGCACGCTGCTGACTTCTTGATCTTGCGACTACGGCCGAGGAAGGAACACGTCTTGGCCTTCAGGTTCTAGAGCTTGAAGACAAGGCTGCTAGTTCTGCGAAGTTCACGGATCGTTGGCGCCGGGTTCAGTCACTGTGATTATATTCGTAAGAGTATAAGCATGCTGAACTGGTACCAAACTATACGGACACAAATACTCAAAAGAGATGTATGTCTTGATGGTGAATGTGGTTCGGCCGTCAGAATGCCGAACTCTAAAACTTACTTGTGAATATCCAATCATAAACAACTTGGCATTCAATGTGCCGAGCTCAATAATTTTGTACCACCTCACTTCGCCGAGAAGGCTAATAAGATGATTTATGCCAATAAGGATTTTTAATCCTTCTCAATCGAGACTTAGATAGATAACCAGTCGGCCTTGACGCAGTGCTGTTTATCCAAACTGAAGGTTTTCCGCGGTTGGCTGATTCTACGACAATAATCCTGGTTATCCAAACTGAAGATGTTTGTTGGTTGCCTTCACAGTGCTGTTTATCTAAACTGAAGATGTGTTGGTGAAAAAGAAAATAAAAATCTCAAGGTGCTTGAGAGGTTTCGTGTAGAGCGAGGGTTTGAGCAGGGCAGTTTGTGTGTTGAATTGGAAGGGGCCTTTCTATTACAAAGCGACTTGTATTTATATCTTTCAGTTCTTGCTTGGCACGGCCTGGTAACTTTGTAGAGTTCAATCAGGATTCTAACTTCGTAGAACATCACTTGACTTAAACTTATGTCCCATCACCTTGGCTATCCAATATCTCCAAGATATGATAAAGGCTATCTCTTAATTTTCCTTAAAAAAAATTAAATATATCTTCCCACATACGTGGCCTAACCAAATGAATGCATCCTATTCCAACCGAAACTTATCTTTTTCCATTATATTGGGCCACGTGCAACCATGCAAGTATGGTAATTAAAATACCATGGTTGATAGTTTTGCATTATCTACAAAACCACCCTGATCCCATCACATCACCTCATTTTGACTAATCCAAAAGGCATATCCACATGTTGATCATCCAATATTAATTGCATCCTTGTGGTAAAGATTAAATACCAAAATCTCCGCATGTTTCACGTACGGCACTCGTTCAATCTCAATTCATAAAACTCCAAAGTAATATTGTGAGCCGACATTATAACAAAAAATAGTATAGTATTGTCCATATTGTGGATTGTGTAAATACAATGGGTTATACATATACATAAAGGGCATTTAAGTCATTTCAAATGTTGTTTTTTGCTAGTCTGGCAATTCTTTTTCACATGCTAAAATGCAGCCTATAACCTTACATTATGGCCAATTAATAAGAATGATTTAAACTTATTTATGAATAAACTTTCTGAAGCCTTAACTCAAGTTAAGTCTCACTTTAACTCCTTAAAACTCAAATGTTGTCACTTCTTTACAGGGTTGAGTATGTAAACGTTGTCACTTATTTTTTCAGGGGTGAGTATGTAAATAAGCAGGAGTAGGATTATCTTTTCTTTTTTTTCTCCTCCCCTTATTTCTTCTCTTATTTGAACAGTTACGATTAAGCAACATCAACATCTTATATTAATTTTATATAGAAAAAGAAAAAGAAAATAAAAAATATAAGAAGAAAGGATGGAAGGGAATAAGGAGGGAAGAGAATCATGTGGCTTTGATTTATTTAGTATTTATTTTGCATTTCTGAAAGTACAACTACAATAGTAAATATACAAGTCAAGTCTCAGTTTTCCGAAAGTGACATCTTATATTAATTTTATATAGAAAAAGAAAAAGAAAATAAAAAATATAAGAAGAAAGGATGAAAGGGAATAAGGAGGGAAGAGAATCATGTGACTTTGATTTATTTAGTATTTATTTTGCATTTCTGAAAGTACAACTACAATAGTAAATATACAAGTCAAGTCTCAGTTTTCCGAAAGTGACATTTTACCTGCAACATTTTGACTTTGGTGAGGAATAACTAAGCAGAAACCCTAGTGACTCTGACATGGCGAATTATTTGACTGAACACCTTGGGGAAGTGATGCAGAAACTTCCTCTTCCGCTTCCTAAAATGAATGCTAAAAGCCTAATAAGAACGCTGCTTATGCTTCAGTTGAGTTGAGCAGTTGGCGCGTGAAGTAAGCAAAATGTGTCTTCAACAACCCATACCACGAAGCAAGTCATTGTATCTTCAATTTCAGCAGTCCCAATCTCCGCGAGCGTCGCACCGCTGCCACTATTTTCCCTGCTATTCAGGTTTCTTTGAGCCTTTTGTTTTGTTGGAAAAGCTCAACATTATTGGATAAACAGCTTCCCCTTTCATTAGTATAAAAATAGATTTGTTTTTCGTTCTGCTGGTTCTTGAATCTTTAGGGCGTAATTAAAAAGTTTCTCTAGAATACACTTGAAAATTTGAGCAAGAATTCAATTTGTATTTTACTTTGTTTTTACTGGTATAGTTTATTACTTTTGATGGAATACGGATGGGGCTTATTATTTGGGGAACCGGATCCTCTCCTGAGCTTAGGAGACTGAGCCTCATGAGCAAAAGATCTGATCGTTGAAATTTAATCCAATGGTTACAAACAAGAGATTCCTCTAAAAGTTATAATAATTGCAGCCGTTAGATCAAATTTCAACGGTTCAGATCGTTTGCTTTTGAGACTCAGCCTCCTAAGCTCAGGAGGGGATCTGGTTCCATTATTTCAAGTCTGATCTGAACTGTTCAGTCCCATGCCTGCAAGGTGGTTGTGCTGAATACTGGCAATTTCCGTTAGATTAAACGAATGCTATATATGGAGAAAAGGAGGGAAGAGGTTTATATGGTGTTCATTGAGTTAGAGAAAAGATGATTTTTTATATTTTATATTTTTATTTTATTTTATTTTATTTGTATGTTTTAGCCTTTAGAAGAGAAAGTAGTTCCTGCCTAGCTAGCTCGTTTGTGGATATACTTTGTCCTGGTTATGGACGAGTGTTATTTAAATTATCTATTAACAAAATTCTGTTTATTAATAAAAAAAAATGTGAAAAGATAATTTGATTTATATCACAAAATTAAATTATGAGTAGTAATGTAATTTTACACAAACTAAAGGATTTTTTTATTTTATTTTAATTTCATTTTAATTTCTTTGCTCATATGTCATTATAGCATATCTCTATTTTTAGAAAGTGAAAATATGCACCCTTATCCACTCCTGCATTCTCTTTCTCTCACTTCCTCTTTCTTTCTTTTACATTTCTCTCCAACTTCTCTCTCTTCCGTACATTTTCCAAAAAAAAACTGCTTCACACACAAAGTGTGTGGGCTTAGGCTAAGTATAAATAAGATGAATTGGTTAAGCCGAAGTGTTAAGTTACAAGTAGGGAGGACTAGACTACTTTAGAATCTAAAGTGTTAGGTTAAGCAAGACAAAACAGATTTCACTAATTATCTACGTAATTTTAGGAAAACTAATGAATAGAGAAGATGACATAGTAAAGATTATGACCAGATAATCGTCCCTTAGAATGATTATGTTTTGTGCGCAAAAGTTTAATCATCCATAATGGAGAAGTGAAATTTAAAGAGGATCTTATAAAAAACTAGAGTGCAAGGACGTAATTGGTGAAGCATTTTTGGTCAGCTGTATGACTTTAACTTTCCTTCTAATCGTGGACAAAGGGAATTGGCAAAAATGTATTATAATGGCTTACATGACAAATTGCCTACTCAATTACTTCATAGAAAAAGTGTGTCACAATGACATACGTTTTTTGTCTTATTCCTCAAGATAAAATACTTTATTATAAGTAGAGACATACAACCCTATTTTGCCTATAATGTTGAAAGTGGGCAATGCTGCCTACTGTATGGGTATAGGTAAACTTTGCCCGATCAATTGCATACTCCATTGGAGATGCTCTAAGTTGAAGTATATTTTTTCACAAGATGACTGTAAGGTCAGCTATGTTCTATGTTTCAGAAATGAGATATTTACAAGAAGTTAGAAATAGCCCCAAGCTTAGGTACGAATCGCCTGGGGGACTTAGGGAGTGGTATGACCATAGTGGATATATGGTGCTAATAAGGGCAAGAGCAAAATATCGTGGATTGGGTTATGAAAACGAATACTCTTTTCAAAGATTGTGACAAAAAAAGCATGCCACAAGATAGTGCTGAATGGACGAAAGAATGCAAATTAGTTTGGGATTGATGCTGATCAGTTTAGCATTTGTACTTGCAAAAAGAGAATTTGATATACCTGATAATTTACTGCAGAACTCCCTTACCAAATGTGTTTTAGTTGTTATCAAAAGTGGTCTATTTTAATCTTCATATTTTTAAATGATTTTTGTTCATTATTTTGTTTTGTTGTACAGGATTAGATTGCTTTAACATCAATGAGAACCCCAGCAGGTCACCTTTGCTTACGGAAGGTTTCCATGATGACAACAACGACTATTATGAACCACACCAGCCGACATTGGTAAGTTTATTAATCCTAAGCATGATAAACCCATCTTCTTAATTTCACCTCGCCATTTAATACATAAATAATTTAACGTTTACAATTTCAGGTCTGTGATGGTAGCAACTCCAGTGAATCGCGTTTACTCAGCGTTAGTTTCTGTGCTTGCACTGACTATGATAAGCTGGGAAATAGGGCTGTGGTAGTATTAAAAACTGATAACCATTACTAGACCATCCATACTTCTTCTCATATTGTATTGCAAGTTTGTAACTAAAAACTTATTTTCATTTTTGGGGCTCTGATGTTTTCAATCCAATTATGTCGTCTTTACATTGCATTGATCCTTATGCTGATAGTGACTATGAGGAGCTAGACAATGTGGTAAGGAAAAAGATAGAGGTGAAACCCATGACGATAATTAAACCAAAAATTTTAATTTTGACATATTGGCTTTCTATATTTTTAAAATTTTGGTTCAATTGATTTTCTCAGGGCTCTGTTGTATTGAACCCCAGTGGCTCGCTTTTACCACGCTCTAGTCCTCATGCTAACACCAATCTTGCAAGGGTAGAGGTAAATAGCAAGCTTATAGAGGTAATTAACTCTCCTTTGTTTTTCACTATTTCTTCTGAGATAAGTAATTTGCTTATAGATAGTAATAGGGCTCATAAAATTCATAGCTGCAGGGCTGTGTTAGTTCAAATCCAAGTGGGGATGTTGCAATTAGCTTTGATAATTCGCACGGTGAAAACACTGATTTCGACCAAGCACATAGCAGACCAAGAGTAATGGTTAAATTGATCATACTTGTAATTGAACCAGCATTTTTTCAAAAATCTCTTGTGAACTGGTTTATTTCATACCCATTTCAATTTCAGATTGAAATTATTTTAACTTCCTTGTAGGTTACTCCATTAGAGTGGATCTTTATTCTCATTGGCCTCGGACTAGAAATATTGTCGGCCAGTTTTGATCAGGTTTCCTCCCCACGCAAGCCTCTTTATGCACTAGTCAGTTTGTTGTTGGCTATTACGGCTGTGTTCACTTGCATCTTGGAGCTCATTCACGGTCGAATGAAGGAGAAGGACAAAGATGGATCTCCAAATAGCATGGTTCATCGTTCGTTGCCTGACATCTTTGGATTGGGTCTTGCGGTAATTCAATGTGTTTGCTCGGCGGTGCAATATTATTTCCTTCATCAGCAAACTAGTACTCCCATGAAACTGTCCCCTGTGCCTCTCTTTTTCTTTAGTTGTTTGGTGGTTTTAAAGTTAAAAAACAACTGAAGGCTCTTGTGAAAGGTAAACTGAAGAAACTTGGTACAATATGTATCCAAATGAATGTTTTCTTTATTTTCTTATATCGTTTGTAAATTCACTACTTGATTATTTTATGGGGTGTTCCTGTCCATTTCAGTTTTTGTGTCTCCTTTGTAGCTCCTATGATTGATTTACCAATGAGGAATGCTGCCAGGATTAGTGATTAGTGATATTTCAAAGTTTGTTTGTTTGTTTGTTTGTTTTTATTTTTTATTTTTTTTTATATTTTTATATTTTTATTTTTTTTGTACATTTCAGATGTGCATATTATGAGCATCAAGTGAGCATGGTGTGTACATGCTATGTGCATATTACATGCCTGGCTTGATCATGTTATGCACATTAAAGGAGGTCAAATTGGGTTTATGCTCAATTATTGTAGTCTAATTCTAATGTAACACGATTAACAATGACACATCTTGCCCTATATGATTTGAACCTACGACATCGAGTTTTGGAGACTTAAAGCATGTTTCGTTCATGCTTTGTGTTGTGCATCTTTTTATTTAAGAAGGCAAACATTGTTAATGTTACCAAAAACTTCTTCCTTTTCCATTTACTAACAAAAAGTACATGACAACTAAATTTGAAGAAAAGTAAAGGAAAAGAGACAAATCTAGTCCCTAATGAAACCATTTAACATATCACAAAAATGTTTACTTCCTGATGCCATCTACACGAGTTGCTGAATTTGTCATGGCACCAGTAATCTCAATGAAGTCAGACTGTGAAAGGACCTTGTGCACTTCCACAGTCACTGCATGCTTTGACAACAACCCTATCCTTGTGAAGTTTTATTATTCTACCTTTAACTTCCCTATCCACTCGAATTGACAAAAAAAAAACCACTGAGCTCTTTCTCTACACTCCATTACACTTACCAATTTCCAACGATTGAGAGAATGCAGAAGGCTAAGGACACTTTCTTTTTCATCCCCCTTGCCACACCAAGATTGTACTATAGACGTACATCGATTCTTGATGATCCTTAGAGATTGCTGTCTTCAAATAATCAATTCCAGGTTTGGAATTATTGTATCGATTGGAAGTATCATCGCATCCCTTGTGCGTATAAGGCCTTGGGATTGGTGCACTCCCTACATCGGTCATGAACTTGTACACCTTTTCATGTCTCCTCCATGAAGTCAGCGGGTCGACCCTTTCAAATCTTTGAATGCTGACGTGTTCGAAGATGCGGTCATGTTGGGCGAGTTAGTTGAACTACTTGCACATCATTTTTGCTAAATATAGAAAACGAAAGGAGCGAGAATCAACCGTGGTGAGTATTTCCAGAAGAAGTTCGTCCAAAAAAGATTGTATCAAAGTTGGGGTCGTTGTACCTTTCTTCATCGCTCTGCCTTTCTTCATCGTTCAACAACTAGATAAGTTGGTTTGTGCTTGGACAAGCATGAATAAATACACTACCTCTCATGCAACCCAAAAGTCATTCATGCACAATTTCGTAATTAATTATCACAATTTTCTAATTATGCCTATTTTTGTTAAGATTCTTGTTTTTGTATGCACAATAACCAACTGGATAAGGTGGTTAAGACTTTACAACCCAATCACGCATGGACAATAACCAACCGTCATCATTCTTAATTCAAACAATCCTCAAGATCAACCACACACCAAAGCTATGGACCCGTCATTGACTATTATTTGTAATTTTTGGATTCATTTAGGGGACATGAAGATGTCTGTGCATTAATGTGCACTACATGGGCATTTACTATGCATGTAATGTGCATGACATGTGCATTTTCTTTGCATGTCAGTCATTCATACACAATATCCAAAGAAAATAATAAAAAGATAGGCAAGCATTGATGAGTTGGAAAAAAGTGGCAGTAAGGTAGATCAATGACATGGTAATGATATCACCTTGGGCTAGTTTTTAAAGCTTGTTGTTTGTGTATCTGTACAAAGAAAAATTTAAAAATACAAAGTCCATAGAATTACGAATTTAGTAGTACATGAGAGTCAAAAAGGAAAACAAAAGGCTGCATGTTACGTGCATATAACAAGGATACATAGTACGCATGTTTATTATCATAAAATACTTATCTAATACATTGCACGACAATAAAATGTCATATAATTCCATTATGGTTTATGCGGTTCCTTTCCCTTCGCTAGTCGACAAGAATCCTCAAAGCCCTTGTAGCATTCCTTCTCCATTTCGACCTTTCCCTCCAGAGAACACTCGTACAACTCAATATGGCCCCAATGCTTTTGGAACAATTCAAAATTTAGGAATGTGATCCTTTCTCTGGACGTGTCAGCTTTTGTTTTTTGCTTACTTGCACGGTAGGGCGCTTCGTTGGCTTCATCGTTGAGGTCCACAAGCTCTGTTTCTGCCTTCATTAGCTTGTGGTTCCAATACTCAGCGATGCCCGTCTCATAGTCGAGTCTCCCGCGGACTTGATCGATATTTTTCAACAATGTCTCCGAGTCCACAGAGCTAAACGATGACGTAGGATTTGCCTTCAATGACCCCGAAAGTGGAAGAGGTTTCATGTTGTACCACCCTTGAAACTCCGAGTTAAACCCCTTAGTTTCATGTGTGGGCTTGGACATGTTTGTGTTGTTAAGCCTTGAATGTTCATATACCTGTTTCAATTCAGGTGCCTTTTCTGGTCATGATCCATTACATACCTGCAAACGAAGGGCGATAATTGAATAGAAAATTTGACCTTAATACCCTAGCTAGAAGAAGATCTAAGTCAGTCATGTATAATTAAGGTTCGGCTACTTAGTTGTATATAAGAAATGACCAAACTATTATGAGAAAAACTTTTCATTGTGCATTTTGTTTGGTAACCAAGATTCAGATGCATAAGAACAGAAAGTTTTCTTAACAAACCTCCCCACTTCTCTGAGTCAAGAATCCAAGCACAATACTCTCCATTCGATTTACCAAGAAATGCTTCAGAATACTTAGTTGGATCACTTGCTACCGTTGCAGCTATAACCTTCACATTGTGGATGATCACAAAATGTAATTATCGCACTTATGCATGCTCAATGCAAATCGGGGGCTATATATGCACAGGCATCCATGATTTATCTATTGTTGTATGCTTTTAAGCCTTGGATGTTCATATACCTGTCTCAATTCAGGAGCTTTTTTCTGATCATGATCCATAACATACCTGTAAACGAAGGGTGACAATTGAATAGAAAATTCGACACTAAATGATACAGTTCACTTCATTGCAATGGACAATGAATAAAATAGGGGTTGTACTGGAGCTTACCCGACCGCATTGAAGAGGCAACCATTGTCTGAGGGAATAACCCTTCTTACTACGATACCCTCCATATTGTAAATTGTTTATACACCTGAAGCATTATAACAAAATGAAATTTCAAACAGTGATGGGTTTATCTATCCAAGTACATGTTTAAAATTGAAATATACGAACATTTACTCAAGAAACAAGGACACGAAAAACATTAAACTGTGTAGAAACGGTTCATTCAAAGAACGAACCTTTTGAGATAACAAAGGAAAACGGAACAAATATTATTACAAATACATACAAAAATTAGGATTCCATTCAAACTAAGCATCGACAGAGACATAAAAGACATTTTATGTTAAGAGTGCATCCTAAACTTAAATACGAGACAATATGAAAAGGCGGCCGAGGAATTGAACAAAACCCAGCTTCACATACTCAGTTGATGATGACCAACCAGATTCAATTACTGGCAGCAGTCCATGATTGAATACATAAATGTAAAAAGGAACAAATATAGTGAACAGAAACAAAATTTACAAACTTCTAAAAATTTTAGTAAGGAAATAAATCTACAAAAAAGAATCAGATAATCCATGCTCATATCACTTTCTTCAAGGAGATAATTATCTCCAAAGCCTACACACAAAATTACCCAGTTACATGAAAAAATAAAAAATATATATATCTATACGTATGTATTCTTCCAATAAATCAGAATATAATTCCAGAAAGGAGACCAACCTTCAGATTCTGAAACAAAGTGATATAACAAATCCAGCTTGAAATCAACAAACCCAAAAGTAGAAATGATAGGAACTTGATAAATAAATGGAAAAGAAAAAAAGAAAGAAATTTCCAGATCTAGTAATGGTACCAAGAGTAGCTTTGCAGTAAAGAAATTGGAGGAGACAAAAACAGAAAATATGATAAGTTTGATTGTCCTTTTCATTGTAGGACTCTATTACTTAGGATTGTTTTGTTTTCAATAAGTTCCTATTATGTAGGATTGTTTTGTGCACGTTACCACTTTCCGTTAGTGTGGATCGTGGGCTGGTTTTTAAGGTTTCGTTAACTATGTAAGGCTATATAATAGCCAACGTTTCTATTCAATAAAGAAGTTATTCTCCCAGTTTGCTTGAGTCAGTTGTAGTATTGCTCTTGGTATTTTTGTTCTGGTTCCCAACAAACTGGTATCAGAGCCCCTCACTGGGGCCTAAGAACCGGAAAGCTGCAGCTTTTGAGTGACTTCAAACACAAGAGAGAAAGAGAGGAAAAATGACTTCTGAAGGAAGGTTCGTGCAGCCTTCCATTCCACGTTTTGATGGTCATTATGACCATTGGAGCATGCTCATGGAAAATTTCCTTCGCAGCAAGGAGTATTGGAGTTTGATTGAAATTGGTTATGAAGAACTAGCAAATGGGGCGCAACCTATATCAGAAGCACGACAGAAAGAGCTTGATGCAATGAAACTCAAGGATCTCAAAGCCAAAAACTATCTTTTCCAGGCAATTGATAGGAGCATCCTAGAGACAATGTTGGAAAAGGACACCTCCAAGAAGATCTGGGATTCCATGAAGACGAAATATGAAGGGAATGCACGAGTGAAGCGCTCAACTCTTCAAGCCCTACGGAGAGACTTTGAGACACTTGAGATGAAGGTTACTGAAACAATCACTAACTATTTTGCTAGAGTGATGACAGTAGCAAACAAGATGAGAGTGTATGGGGAGCTTATGACTGACGTCACGATTTGTGAAAAAATCCTGCGATCTCTCACGAACAAATTTAATTATATAGTTTGTTCGATTGAGGAATCTAGGGACTTGGATGCAATTACCATTGATGAGCTTCAAAGCTCGCTCACTGTACATGAGCAAAAGTTTCACAGAAGCAGTGGTGTGGAGCAAGCTTTGAAGGCAACAATTGATGCCAAAACTGAGGGAGGTTTCAATAATCATAGAGGACGAGGGCGTGGAAGAAGTAACTATAGAGGACGAGGACGTGGAAGAGGAGGCCAAAAGGTGGTCAACAAGGATACGGTGGAATGCTACAAGTGTCATAATCTTGGGCACTTCTAGTATGAATGTCCTAAATGAGATAAGGAGGCTAATTATGCAGAAGTGAATGAAGAAGATATGTTGTTGATGTCATATGTTGAGGTACATGAACGGATTGATGCTTGGTTTCTTGACTCCGGATGTTCTAACCATATGTGTGGCGATCGGGATATCTTACAAACCTAGATGAAAGCTTTGTTCATTCAGTTAAATTGGGGAACAACAGTAGGATGAATGTGGTTGGCAAGGGAAATGTCTCGTTGTTTTCAAATGGAATCAATCATGTTGTCAATGAGGTGTACTATGTTCCAGAGCTCAAAAACAATCTCTTGAGCATATGACAACTTCAAGAAAGGGGCTTGGCTATATTAATTAAAGAAGAAGCCTACAAAATATATCATCCGACTAAGGGTCTGATTATTCAGACTAAGATGAGTAAGAACAGGATGTTTATACTGCTAGCTCAGACTCCAGTCTCTACAAGTGCCCCACCAGAAAGGTGTCTTCACACAAGCTCGTAGGATCCCTTTTATCTTTGGCATTGAAGATATGGTCACCTAAGCTACAAGGGATTGAGAACGTTGCAACAGAAGAGGATGATTTGTGGACTTCCTCAGCTTCAAACCTCAAATATCACATGGACAGACTGCATTCAAGGTAAACAGCATTGTAATGACATGCCAACAAGAAGTAGGTGGAGAGCAAGTCAGCCTTTAGAGCTTATTCATGCAGACATCTGTGGGCTTAGCTCTCCCATATCAAATAGTGGAAGGGGGTACATTTTATGTTTTATTGATGATTTTAGTCGTAAAACATGGGTGTACTTGTTGACAGCAAAGAGTGAGGCACTACATTGCTTCCAGTTTTTCAAAAGAATGGTGGAAAAGGAGAAAGGGCTAAGTGTCAAGTGTCTACAGATAGATAGAGGGGGTGAATTCACCTCAATTGAATTCACTAATTTTTGCAAAGAAAATGGAATCAAGAGGCAGTTAACCACTGCCTACACGCCATAACAAAACGAGGTGGCTAAAAGGAAAAATCGAACTGTCATGAATATGGTTCGTTCTATGTTGTCTGATAAGAAACTCCTAAAAAAGTTATGGCCAGAGGCGGTGAACTGGACTATCTATGTTCTGAATAGATGTCCCACATTATCAGTGAAGGATATCACTCCACAAGAGGCTTGGAGTGGAGTAAAACCCTCAGTCGAGCATTTCCGTGTCTTTGGAAGCTTAGCACATGTTCATGTTCCAGATGTCAAGCGAGGTAAATTTGATGATAAAAGTTTTCCTTGTGTTTTATTGGGAGTTAGTGAGGAGTCCAAGGGATATAGATTGTTTGATCCTATAGCAAAGAATATTGTTGTGAGTAGGGATGTTATTTTTGAGGAAGAAAAATAGTGGGATTGGGATATGAGTTATGAGGGACAGATCATGTTAGATTTAGAATGGGGAGGAAACGAAGAAAACAGTGAGGAAGAAGAAAGGGTGAGTGAAAATGAAGATGAAAATGGCAGTGAGGCTAGAGAAGAAAGAAATAAGGGTGAGAGCAATGAAGACACACAAGGTTATGAAAAGAGAAGTTCTAATGAACTTGGCAAGGATAAAGGGAGGGTTTATGAAGGAAGAGTCAGACATCCTCCTTCTTACTTAAGTGATTATGTCACTGGAGAAGGGCTAAGTGACGACGAGGTACACATGGTTCAAATCGTGCCAACCGAATATCCTCTCTATTTTGAAGAAGCAGTGAAAGAAGAGAAATGGAAGCAAGCTATGGACAGTGAGATCAGCTCTATAGAGAAGAATAGAACATGGTCTTTAACCGAGTTGCCGACTGGAGCAAAAAAGATTAGCGTCAAATGGGTCTACAAGACCAAGTACAACGAACATGGAAAGATTGACAAGCACAAAGCACGTCTAGTAGCCAAAGGCTACTTACAGAAGCATGGCATAGACTACACAGAGGTCTTTGCACCAGTGGCAAGAATGGACACGGTGAGGATGATTATCGCCTTGGCAGCACAAAAGGGTTGGAGGATTTTCCAATTAGATGTCAAGTCAGCATTTCTTCATAAAGAGCTGAGTGAAGAGGTCTATATTGAGCAACCAAGGGGTTACGAGAAGGAAGGAAGGGAGCACTTGGTCTACAAGCTACACAAAGCATTGTATGGATTAAAACAAGCTCCACGAGCTTGGTTTAGTCGGATTGAGGCTCATTTTATCAAGGAAGGTTTTTAGAAGTGTGACAGTGAGCAAACTTTGTTCACAAAGAAGGATGAAGCAGGAAAGATCATCATTGTAAGTATTTACGTTGATGATTTAATTTTTACTGGTAATGACAAAGACATGATGTGTGAATTCAAAAAGTCCATGTTGAGAGAATTTGATATGACTGATTTGGGAAGCATGATATTTTTTTCTTGGCATTGAAGTACTTCAAAGAACAGATGGTATTTTCATATATAAAAAAAAATATGCCCTAGAGGTCCTAAAGAGATTTGGAATGTTGGAAAGTAATGAAGTAAGCAGCCCGATTGTCCCAGGATTTAAGGTCAGTAAGGATGAGAATGGAATTACTGTGGATGAGACATACTTTAAGCAATTGGTGGGAAGCTTAATGTATCTCACTGCCACAAGACCAGACATGATGTTTGTCACCAGTCTCTTAAGTAGATTTATGGCAAGACCAACTGAGCTTCATCTACAGGCTGCAAAGAGAGCTCTTGGATATTTAAAGGGGACGGTGAATTATGGTATTCAGTACAAGAAAGGTGGAGATGATGGACTGTTTGCTTTCACAGATAGTGATTATGCAGGAGATGTGGAGGATAGGGAAAGCACCAGTGGTTATGTGTTCTTGCTAAGTTCGGGTGCTGTGACATGGAGTTCATAGAAGCAGAATTTGTAGCAGTTGCAATGTGTGCATGTCAAGCAATATGGATGAAGAGGGTGCTGAAGGAGCTTGAGTACAACAATGAGGCGTGTACTCTAATTAGATGTGATAACAGTTCAACCATTAAGCTGTCAAAGAATCCGGTGACGCATGGTCGCAGTAAACATATTGACGTGAGATATCACTTTTTGAGGAATCTCACAAATGAGGGTTCGATTGCTTTGATTCATTGTGGGAGCGAGGATCAGGTGGCAGACATAATGACCAAGCCGTTAAAGGTTGATGTTTTCCAGAGACTTCGAAATATGCTGGGGGTTTGTGAGATTGTTAGTATAAACTAACTGTTTGATGACAGTAAGTTTAAGGGAGGGATTGATAAGTTTGATTGTCCTTTTCGTTGTAGGACTCTATTACTTAGGATTGTTTTGTTTTCAATAAGTTCCTATTATGTAGGAAGACTTGTTCTACGTAGACTATTTCCTCGTGCAAGTTACCACTTTCCGTTAGTGTGGATCATGGGCTGGTTTTTAGGGTTTCGTTAACTATGTAAGGCTATATAATAGCCAACATTTCTATTCAATAAAGAAGTTATTCTCCCAGTTTGCTTGAGTCAGTTGCAGTATTGCTCTTGGTATTTTTATTCTGGTTCCCAACAAAATAATGAGGACCCATTTGCATAATCAAATAAATATAAATGTCCAACAAAAAAAGGGGAAAAAAATAGAAGAAGAAAAAAAGGAGAAGAGAAACTCACTCTGGTCTATTAATAATTTGGTATGAAGGGGGTGCCGTGTCGTGGCTTTTCTCCTGGTTTTGGGTATGGCACTGTGTTTTGTTAACACAATTTAAAAGCTGGGTGCCAAACGTTACTTTTATGTTTTTCTTTTCCTTTTTTTCTTTATCCTTTGGGAGGGTGGTGAAGGTGGGATTAGGAATTAGAACAAGGTGCGGACGACGACATATTGCCA